TGTTTAAGTTTATATGTAGACTGCAGGGGTCCCAGAATAATGTTATTATACAGTTGACCAATCCAAGGTGTAGTTCTGTTAGATACCAATCCTATATGTGGAAACACTGGTATTTGTGCCTTTTATAAAATGTGTATAAGCACTTTTTAAATTGCATTTTTTGCTGCTCTTATTTATTAGATGCCTTTTACTGAATATGTACAAGTACTTTTTTAATATTATGTGATATAACGCCTTTTTACTGTATTTTTGTTTTATGTACTGTATGTGATTGTATGTCTATTTGGACGTTGGAGTCTGCAATAAAGTTTGACTGTTGAAATGTATTGCGAGGAATAACCCCTTGGCAACTATAAATATCCATTTTTGTGTAAATCTAGCCATTACTTGATTTTTGACAGACTGACAGGAGGACTTACTGATATTGATATTAATTTAAGATGGTTTAAGCCTCCACTGCAAACATTTTTAAAAATCATTTGGCATTGAACAATCCTTTACTCTACTTCAAACAAAATCTGCAAAATGGCACTTAATATAAAAGAACAACAGCACTGTTAGATAATCTCTCACAGCAATAATCAAATGCTGTAGATAATGATATGGAAGAGGGATACTGATTATGAGGGACCCAAGTGTTTTGTCCCAGACCACAGAGCATTGACCACTGATTGGTTTTCCTCTCTCGTGGTCTGATGAATAATGTTCACTGCATTGTCTTATCTGTGATGTTCTCCTCTGACACACTGGGCTGAAAAGGGCCGGGACCTCACCTATTGTCTGGCTGTCGAAAGAAGGATAATTAGCTTCAGTGCAGCATTAGTGTTTATGTGTGTGGCACCCTGCAGAGAACTCAGTGAGTTGGGATAGTTGGAACGACCTTGGGTATCACACCACTTGTTTGGTATTAAATCTGTGGCCTGAGGTTGGGACAATGAAGAAAACATTGTCTGAATCATGGATTGGGATGCATGACACACACAGCAGTGCATGCATAACCTCACACTCACAGAGAAGATATTCAGTGAGTATATTTAAGTGGTTCTCTGTGTTGTGTTGTTATGATGATGGTGGTGGACCTGGCTTTTTCCATGATTTCTGGCTACTGCCTCATTTTTCCAGGGGCTCACAAAAATAAGCACATTTTGTTAACTGACCTCACTGTGTGTTTTTAGTGCAACAACCTTTTGCCATAAAGGTATATAAAAACTGCTGACAGTGAGGTCTGTGGATTACCCAGAGTAACACAGAGAATGTTTCTGAAAAAGAGATATTACTGCTGGGGTTTTGACTCTCCCATGGCATGGACAGAATTGGAAAGTAGTCGATTTTCTATTTGCAATAAATCTCTAAAGCCCCTTTCTCTAAATAATAAATTTACTAACACCCGCAAACATCTGGCTTTTGTGTGGAAGGGAAAAGGTTAAAATCAGCATTTATACCCTGGTCAAATAACTCTGCAATCCCATCTGTGTCTGTCCAAGCAGCGGACCAAATAAGTCTGAATAAGTAAGAGATATATCAAAAGAAGTAACCACCCTAACATTTTTGCTCACCTTCATGCTGCTTTCTACAGTTTATTAACCTGTTTTCTTGCCTGCCTGTTGTCCATCTTCTGCCTGATTCCATTTGAACGCAGCATATTTCTTAACTGAATAAATTTGTCATTGTAGCATAAATGCTTTGAAGTATACTAAAATATGTAATGAAAAGCAATAAACCTCAAAGGTCTCCATCGTATCGTAAACCGTATTTTCTGGGGTATTCACAAATGGCCTCCCCTATTATTGTTGTATTATTGTATTATTTTCAGTTGGCTACAACTCCTGCATAGTAAATCAATATGTGTTTGCTCAAAATTAGTTGGTTGTTACAATGGATCATTTTTTGATAAACATGATGGATGTCTTGGCTTTCAGAATATTAAAACCTCTCAAAACGCATCATTTCACCATCCACCCGCTTAAGTTAACTGAGTTAGTGTCGCAGACCAAAATATAACATTAAAAATGTTTCAACGTTTGTCAGTATGGACATTCTACACATCTCTGTTAGCTTGGTTAGATTCTCCACCATTTAATTGTTCAGTTCAATTTATGGAAACCATGAGCACCAAAGTATTATTTATACAGATTTGTATGGTAAACAAGAGAGGTAAAAGTGGTGACTTCTTACCTTGGAAGGGATCATACAATCCGAATGTGACCATTCCTCAATTATTATTCCTTTGTTTGAAAGGGTCCACCAATGAATTTGAATTTAATTGAATCATTTTTATTGATTTCATAAAAAATGAATCCAAGTTGTGAATACTGTCATGTGTTTTCAAACAGAGAGCAGTTCTGCTGATATAAACAATATTTTCTTGTCTTCCTGCACCATGTTTTTGGGTTTGCTTGTTTTTGGTACTTCACTGGCTAGAAAATTAAAGTGTATCCAAGCTTTTCTGTGTATTTTTCACTCCAAGACAGCCCCTGTAGTATACGTGCCCCCTGTTTGGATGCATGAAAAAAATGAAGCACATTAAAGTGATATAAGAGATCCCACCCAGCACGATCCCGTCCTCTGCCCCCACCACTACTTCACACAAACTGTGCTCTTCACTCTGTCATGCAGGTGCTGCTGTTAAAGCATTTTAATCCGAATTTCAATAATGGATTTTATCTAAAGAAGAAAGAAAACTATTTGTATAAATGATACTGAGATTTGGTATCTATCGCATAAGTTTTTATTTTGTTGTTGTCATTGACTGCTCAGTCATTCATTTACATTAATTAGATCAACTGCCAGCTTCCTACAACACAAATATCATTATCATTATATCATCTACACATATACATAAATCATTTTCTCTTTCTTCTATCTTTTTCTTTTTTCTTGGTTGTTCACTATTTCACAACACATTTTTTTTAATCCTCTCTCATAGCATATTGAGTCATTTTATTTTTATTTTTTGTTGTCACAACTTTCCCATTCTTTGTGTCTTGTCATTGATTCCATATTAATTGATTGATTTTTAAAAAGAAAAACATAAAAATCTACCCTCCCATGTAAGACACTGGGGATGACCTGAAATGGACTAGCTCCCTAAGACCTAAGGCAATGACACCCAAAGGATGACAACAACAAAACTCAACAGAAGATTTTAAAAGGGTGGCACTGAGCCACTGCACTTTTTAATGTTTTAGGTTAATCTGTGTTTTTGAATTATACTGTTTTATTATTTATTATATTATCCCCCACCCCCAATACTCCTCCTCACACATACCTGCACATTACTCTGTTCTCATTTACAGTTCTAGTGTGTAAGATTTAGTGGCATCCGGTAGTGAGGTTTTAGGCTGCAGATTGCAGCCAACTGAAACCGGGATACCGGGGTCATTGAGACGAGTCATCTGGCCCCTGTATGACCAAAGTGAGAGCTGCGTCTGCGTACTACGTCATATACGTTCTCGGTGAGTGTTGGCCTCTGCCAGGGTTGTCCCTTGTCTCCGATTCTGTTTGTGTTATTCATGGACAGGATCTCAAGGCACAGCTGGGGGGAGGAAGGGGTCCAGTTTGGGAACCTCAACATTGCGTCTCTGCTTTTTGCAGATGACGTAGTTCTGTTGGCTTCATCACACCGTGACCTCCAGCAGGCACTGGGGCAATTTGCAGCCAAGTGTGAAGCAGTTGAGATGAGAGCCTGCACCTCAGCCTTAGAGATAGGGTGAGAAGCTTGGTTATCCAGACGGAGCTCGGGGTAGAGCCGCTGCTTCTTCACCTCGAAAGGGGTCATTTAAGGTGATGCGGGCATCTGATTCGGATGCCCCCTGGGCGCCTCCCATTGGAGGTGTTCCGGGTGCGCAGCTGAGTTACATGCAGATCTTTCTAGGGCTGTAGTCTCCTGGTTGACTAGTCAATTATTGGTCGCTATGCTCTCGTCCGACCAAATTGTCATTGGTTGAATAATCGCCGTGTTACTTTCATAAGGAGAAAAGTGCTACATCAATAGCTTTCTAGGATTAATCCTTTATTTCCTGCGGCAGGGGGGGACAGGCTAAGTTACCTGTGAAAATGGGGGTGTTTTCAAAACACCTCCGTTGTTGACAGAAAGTTGAACTCGCCCACCCTCACGCTTAGCTGTTTCTGTAAGCTGAAACCATTTCCCTCAGTGGAAACGAAGCTTGTATTTACTTGTATTTCATAGATAAGAAACAATAAATTGTGAAGACAGTAAAGCCTCCACTAAACTAGCATTTTAAGTCGTGTGTGTGATTTATCCTTCAGGGATTTATACTTCGGGATTTATCCTGGCTTCATATGAACAGAGGAAATCGCTGGTTGTCGCTAGGCTAATTTATACACTGTAAAATGCCATAGGCTGGCGCTAATAACGTTATGTTGTATTTGATTGGAAAACATGTTTAGTATAAGACAGTTTTTTTTGTCGGTGAATGTTGTGAGCTGTAATGGAGCCAAATTATGTACCGCTTCCTTTGTTACATGTTGCTGTTGTCCCTGGTTTTATATGAGAAGAGGAAAAGATCGCTAGATGCTAGGCTAATTTATACAATGTAAAATGCCATAGACTTGTGCTAATAATGTTAGCATGTTGTATTGGTGGGGGAAATGTGTCCAGATAAAGACAAGTGTTTGTCAGTTCTGCGATTTATAGTGAAGCCAATTTGCGTACTTGTGTTTGAAATTGTCCCTATTAAGCCATATTTAATGTGTGTTTTGAATCAACTATATCAATAAAGTTTGATTTGAACTAAACTTTACAGCACTTAACACAGTCCTCCACCGCTGACTAGTATTTTGGAGGTGTAACTGCAGAGTGACACAGACATACCACTGCACAAGTAAATATAACGTGCAGATTTTTTTCTTCCCACGACTAATCGATTAGTTGACGATTATGTGCGACTTTAGTCGACCAATATTTTCTTTGGTTGACTACAGCCCTAGATCTTTCATGCCCTGATGTCTGTGTCTTTAATTCTACTGTTCTGTCGCAGGTGGGTGACCAGATCCTGGAAGTGAACGGTCAGAGTTTTGTCACCATCTCCCACGATGAGGCAGTTCACATCCTCAAAACAGGACACCACCTGCTGATGAAAGTGAGGGATGTGGGTCGTCTGCCTCATGCACGCACAGTGGTTGATGAGACCAAATGGATTTGCAGTCAGGCCATAGCTGAGACCAATGCTACAGCTAACCCAAGTTCTGTTATCAACCCCACTGTCAATGCTGGCGTCCACGTTAGTGTCAGTGCCAGTACCTGCAGTACAAGGTGAGTGCATTATACTGAGTCAGTGTGACTATTTGCCATATGCAATGAATACTAGAACTGTCAGTGGCACTGGACCAGAGACATCATTATAACTGATAACTGAGCTGTGCTTCTTTGTTTCCCCATGTGGTTAACAGATCTGGGTCAAATACTATTTTTTTCCTCTAATAAAAAGAATTGTATTCAGAAGCTGTTAACTATTAAGGTACAGGTATTATTGGGCAGCACAGCTCAAAGCAGCCATGTGCTACTTCTCCCCAGATGAACCTCCAGCTTGGGTCAAGATTGAGACATGCTCAGCTCAAAGGCAACAATTAAATCGTAGGCAACTGAACTTTGATTTTGTCTAGAAGACGTTTCGCCTCTTATCCAAGCGGCTTCATCAGTTCTCAACGCATCAGTCTGACTAGTCCTCACTAGTCTGACAAACAGTGGAGTAAGACTCAGGTTTTTAACCTCTGTGGAGGTGTACACCCACCACCCTCATAAGACAATACTTGTTTGGGGGCCATTTGGCCAATAGCAAATTTATATCCGGAAAAGAAGATAATGGTTTTAAAACATGACCGATCAAAGGATTATGCAGGATTAAGGATCTGTACATTGATGGAAGGCTGATGTCATTTACTGGACTACAAGAAAAGTATAATATTCCTTCAATGGACTTCTTCAAGTTTATACAAACAAGAAAGTTTTATTTCGTATCCCAAAATCACTCACTTAATCAGCCACTCTCTCAATTCTGGAAAACATTACAATGAAACACATTGTTGGTATGGGACAGATAATACTGCTCTATAAAACATTCGCTGATAACACAGCTGGGCATTCAGAAGATAAACTTAAAGGCTACTGGAGCAGCTGGAGGCTAGATTTACAGGAGGAAACCTCAGAAGAGGAATGGTTTGAGGCATGCCTGAAGGCTCAAACACAAACAATTAACATGTGGCTTCAGTTGCTACAATATAATCAGAACTACATTGCTTAAATCTGAGTAGGGCAGGTGGGAGTGGTGGTGGATGGGTCAAACAACCACCAACTTTCCCCGAGGAGGCCGGTGTTTACTTCCCATAAGATTGTAAAGCCGCACCCCTTTTCTTTTTTTCTACACCCAACCACATGCTTTTGTTGCCCAAACCCAAACACGTGTGAGTTGGCAAAGTGTAACCACATGCGTTTGTTGTTGAAGGGAAAAAAACAGCCATTAACTGTATTGTACTGACGTAGTACATTTATTTTTAAAGAGACTGTATGCAAACCGTACATTTCCTGTAAAAATAGAAGTATATTTTTAAAAACGGACATTGCATGTTACAGGCTGAAGTTTACATGGCGTACCAGAACGACAACAGCCAATGCACCCAGGGTACTTTGCAGGTCATATGTCGACTTGGAAAGTCTATGACCAAATGTCAATATAAAGAGACGACGTCGGAGTGAGAATGTATTGACCAAACCAGCAGTGGTGTCGTTCGAAGCATGGAGTAGCGTCTAATCTCCTTTCCTTGCTGCTCGAGAGGACCTATAGATTTCTAGATTTAATTGCTTTATATCTTCATATGGCAGGCCAAAAAATAGTTCTCAAACTACTGTGTAACACGCTTTACAGCCCCAATGACGTGATGTCACCATAACAACTTACAACAATCCCCATTTTCTTTTGAACTAGTCAAATGACCATGGCTAACAGTTCAAAGTCCATTCTAATCTCATTCTATTTCTATGCTCCCCTCCCTCCCTCATCCTCATCCATCTGTCTCCCGGCTCTAATGGAGCTGGCCCTGATTGAGAATTTGGGGAGGTATACATTTCTCTGCCTGCTGCTGCCTTGGAAGTCATACAAGATGGCTCCCCTCTCCACACATCATTAAACTCATGCTGCCTCAGTGCCTCAGGCTGGGTTAGGCTGTAATGTTGTTGTTGTGTTTTAATGCTCCACATGCATAAGAATTGTTGAGGCATACAGGCACTTATGCTTATGCTTTTATTTTATGCGCTGCTCTAAATTCATCTTGTTTGTAGGATAAATATAATTTGTTTTTAAATATGTTTGCATTTCTTCTTTGTTGCAGACCATCTTCAGGCAGAGCCACACCTGTAATAGGAAAGGTAAGAATGGAATATGCATATGAACACACTTTACATTACATATATGTCTTTTTTTCTGCCCCCCTAAACAGGTGGGAATAGCATCAGACTGAAGTCATTAATCTAATGACTTTGGGCTTGACTCAACAAAATCAAAACAGACCTGCAACTTGACTTTGACTTTATGACTTTATAACTATTAACTTGTGACTTCACTTGGACTTCAGCGTTTTAACTTCAGATGATTTTATATCCTCCCCAAGACCAAACATTGAAAACTTTTAAATAACCTTTCCCTATCCTGATAACTGATGCACTTTGAGTCCATCCTACTGCTGCCAATCATAATGCAGAACAGGAGGGACCATCAGACAGACGATACCTCAGAGGTTCACATTTGCACATTAAACATTTGGGTGGCAGTCTCCTCACCAATGCAGCAGATTGTATCAGGTGTAATTGAAATTGCTTGCCAAAAGGCCAAAATGAAGCCAGTGTTTGAGTTGATTCAACTTGCGTACACTCTTGGAAAATAAGAATGAGCTTCTACACCAGACCATTTGCTTCTGAGGAACCCTTTTTCTTTTTTTTTCTTTTTTTTTAAGAAAGGGTTCTTCAGGGGGTTCTTTGGAAGACTAAATGTTTCATTAAGCACCCCTTTCAACCACAAAAAAAAAAAAATTGCATAAAGGATTCTTTGTGAGACAAAGGGTTCTATTAAGAAACCTTTTCATGCAAAGAATCCTCTTTTGAAGAAACAGTTCTTCAAGGATTGTTAAAAAGCTCAGGTGATAAAAGATGTTCACCCTCAAGTAATCAGATGTTTGCCTGTGTTTCAAATGGTATTTTTAAATGTAGATGTGTCAGTATCTGGAATCAACATAATCAGTTATTTTTACTGCAGAGATACTGTCCACTCTGCTAATGAGCATTATGGTAGAGGTAGATCCACTGTATCGCTGACAGAGTAAAGAACCCCAAGGGATAATTTTTTCCTTTAGGGATGTTACCACACAGAGTGAAAGGGGGAAATGATGGTGTGAAACAGCAGAGGCACTTTGTCAACCCGCTGAGTTAACGTTACTGTCATTAGCATCAAGCTAGCAAACAATGGTACATCCTCACGGTCAGACATAAAGTAATAACATTAACAAATAGCAGCGGGGCTTTTACTCACCACAACTGCAGAGGCTACCAGCTTCATTTGAAACAAACTACATTATAGACGTTATTCATTAATCCCTCTGTGTGTTTATATATGTACTTTTTCTCCGCTCTGTTGTCTTTATAAAGTTAACATATCGCACCTTCATTTCAAACTCAACACTTGTTTCAAATTAAAAGCCCCTTATAACCTCGGCTGAGAGAATCCCTCCATTTTCTAAATAGGCTTTTATTCTGAAACATTTGTCAGAACTTCCTGTGGAAGATACAGTAGCTTGATAGTTTAGTTATGGCGCTTCAAATGTAGCTCCTGCCATCTGCTGACGCTTTTAGGTGACTACAACAACATGTCGGCTGGCACATGAACAGACACACAGTGACTCAAATAATAGTCAAAGTAATAAAAATAGGACAAGAATAACCCGATGACATCACACACGCTGTGAAAGATGACCAGATAATTGGTGAGTACCAGCGTGTAGTGTGTACCAGGCATAATGCAAGTCCTGAGTCTGAAATATGTCTGTCAGCGAGTCCTACTCCACCTATTTAGACTCCACCGTAGACAACAGCAGCATTTCTCCGACCACGTAGCGAGCCACAAGCTCCGTGGCTTCTTTCAGACTGATAGGTTTAAAGTTATCTCCATTATTAGAACCAAACGACAGCCGTGGCTCTTTCGGAGCTGAAGGACCAGCGTTCTAAAAGTAACGTAAGTATCTGATGTCTTGTTTGAAAATGTACTTAAGTATTTGATTACTCAAACAGCAAACTAACGCGTTAGGTTACTCGTTACTGCAAAAAGTAATCAAAGTACTATACCCAACTCTGCTTGTTAGCACCTTCGCTTAGAAGGTGGAAAGGTTCTGATAGCCCCCTAGAGAAAGCTCTGGGTTAAACCATAATTCCATAGAACAGTTTGCTGTAGAACCTTAAACCTTGCACAGATGGTTACTGGTACAACCCTTATGTTGGGTTCTAGGTAAAACTCTCTGAAAGACTTCCGGGTGGCACTTTTATAAAAGGTTCAACCAGGAACCCAAATAAAATTTTTCCCCTGGAGGCAAGCTGAAGAGCCCTATATGGTTCTACTTAGCACCCTTATCTCTGAGAGTGTACCTATAACAGTCTTTGTCTATAGGTTTGCAGAAATTTTTGCATGCGTCTTTGGAGACACATAATTCCAGTGGAGCTTGTGAAAAATAAGGTGTGCAAAACCAAGTATGCTGCAGTTGTTATTCTATACAGGCAAAAAACTTGTTGGAGTAAATAAAGTGATGGGGGGTCACTGGTGCCTTATAGTGTGGATTAATATGTTTAATGAAATGGAAGCATGTGTATCAGTAGTCTCGCCACCAGACAGTCAGAGATCTCCGCCTTCTGATAGTCTGGGGACACTCCTTTCTAAAGTATGTTTAACACACCGGCGAAAACGGCCGGCAACAAAGCAACGCCTCTTGCATTTTTGAAAAGGACATGCCCTCACCGAAATGTGCGATCCCCGTTTCTTGTCCGCAAGGAAACAAACACACAGAGAGCTTGAAAATGGATGCCGAGAGATTTAACTCGGTTTTATCAAACGTGTGCTCAGTCCACAAGATTGTGGAAATGAAGGACTTACAGCAACTTGAGCCATTTTGTTCCGCTACATGTGTTTCTAGTCGGACTATGTTTACAAGCACAAGAGTTCAGCGAGCCACCGAAAGACCGCCCTGCGAATTTACTATTGGTTCTGCAACGTAGGGAGTTTTTTTAAAGTCTGAAATTGTATCCGCCCATCTAAACACAAAATCAGGGAGAAAGACATCAGTCTTTAGTTAAGCAAAGTGTCTAAAGACTGACTTGTGAGTCTAGTGTATCAGTGCCTCTACAAGCATTGTTTCTATGTGTATTGGTCTGTAAGCTGCCATTATGCTTCATCACGAGTGCCTGCCAGATGGTTTATAGCTTTGGAAACACCCTACCCTGAAAGCCATTTTTCAGTGGAGTATGAAGTATTTTGTAGAAAAAATAATAATGTCTTTTAAACTCTTATGACTCTTATATCTAATAAGATACATGTTTACATGTTTGAGGAAGCTTATTTCAACAACTTAAACTGCCTTGGAAATTTATGAAATGATCTCATCATGATGGGGTTTTATATTTTAAGCATTCAAGGATCAATAAGTTCTAAAGATGGACATTTCTGAGTGCAGTCACAGATTGGAGTGCAGACCCAACAAAATTCCTCTGATCTAGAAATGACATCTTTTCTTGTCTTTTGGTTGAGAGGACTGAAAATTCACCTTTGAAACACGCTGCTACAGTACACACACATGCATGCATACGTGCGGGCACACACATACACACACACACACACACACACACACACACACACACATGCTTGTCATTCTGTTTGCTGATTCTACCTGCACTTCCTATGAACAACTCTGCTTCTCTGGAGCATCACAGCAGGGGCTCAGCTCTGTATTCAGGAATTAACGACATCATGACAGCCTTAAAGGTACACTATGCAGGTTTGTTGGTTACTGTTTGGAAACATACTCACTAGCAAAAGTGAAAGTAAACGCAAACCCCAGATTCCCTTTCTTTGGCATTTTGTCTTCCTACAGTGGCATGCAAGAATTGGGTCACCCCTGGTCAAAATTTGTTCTCTGTGAATAGTTAAGTTACTAGAAGATGAACTGATCTCCAAAAGGCATGAAGTTAAAGATGAAACATGCTTTTCAATATTTTAAGCAAGATTAGTGTATGATTTTTGTTTTGTATAATTTCAGAGTGAAAAAAAGGAAAGGAGCACCATGCAAAAGTTTGGGTACCGCAAGAAATTTGAGCTCTCAAACTTTTACCAGGGTCTCACACCATAATTAGCTTGTTAGGACTATGGTTTGTTCACAGTCATCGTTAGGAAAGGCCAGGTGGCCAAGGCCAAATTTCAACTCCTGAAATCTTGTCCCAACAATCAGCAGCCATGGGCTCCTCTAAACAGCTGCCTAGCACTCTGGAAACTAACATATCTGATGCCCACAAAGCAGGAGAACGCTATAAGGAGATGTTTTCAGGTAGCTGTTTCCTCAGTTCATAATGTAATTAAGAAATGGCAGTTAACAGGAACTATGGATGTCAAGTTGAGGTCTTGGAGACCAAGAAAACTTTCAGAGAGAGCTGCTCATAGGAATGTTAAAAAAGCAAATCAAAACCCCTGTTTGACTGCAAAAGATCTGCAGGAAATTTTTATCAGATTCTGGAGTGGTGGTGCACTGTTCTACTGTGCAGTGACACCTGTACAAATATGACCTTCATGGAAGAATCATCAGAAAACCTTTCCTGTGTCCTCACCACAAAATTTGCAGAGGAACATCTAAACAAGCCTGATGCTTTTCTTTATCTGTGAACTGATGAAGTTAAAATAGAACTTTTTGACACAATGAACAAAGGTATGTTTGGAGAAAAAAAAACACCTGTCCAACTGTTAATCACAAGGATCAATTAATCATTTCACAGATAGAGGGAAGAATGGATTCAATTAAATTCCAGCAGATTTTGGGGGGAAAAAATCACACCATCTGTAAAAGAGCTAAAGATGAAGACAGGATGGCAGTGATCCTAAACACACCTTCCACATCCAAATCCACAAGGGACCAACTCAAGAAGCGCAAGCTAATGGGTTTGCCATGGCCCTCACAGTCCCCCGACCTAAACATCATTAAATATCTATGGAAAGACCTCAGAAGAGCAGTGTGTGCAAGACAGACCAAGAATCTCACAGAGCTAGAAGCCTTTTGGAGATCAGTTCATCTTCTACTTACTCAACTACTCACAGTAAATGAAACTTTGACCAGGGGTGCCCAGAC